AGAGAGAGAGAGAGAGAGAGAGAGAGAGAGAGAGAGAGAGAGTTCGACATAAATCTTTCTCGGTAATTATCGGCGTCGGTATCGCCTTGGCATCCTCGATTCCCATTGACGGAAGAGGCCGACCCAGTTCCGCGGCGCAAACAGGAAGCGGATTCGACTCGAACCGGACCAAGGACCCCGAGGCTCCTGAGGGCCGCCGCGGCGCGGCGTTCGCCGTTTAACCGGCTCGCTGCGATAATAAATTGATAATCGTCGGGGAGAGGTTGTCTCTCAATTAGCTTGGGCCGGATGACGGCGAGCCGAGCCGCGCCGCGCCACGCCGCGCGCAATTTCATTACCGAACAAACTCGTCGTTCAAAGGGACATGCCACTTATTCGCGGCTCCGTCGACGACGAACGACTACGGCGACCCAGCGACGAGCGACGCGCCAGCGTCAGGGACACGCCAATTGCCGTAGATTGATGATCCATCGAGCGCGTTCGATCCCAATCGAGAAACACGGGCCCGATCGCGAGCTCGAAACGAACGTTTATTCCCCTCGCGATCTAATCCGATCCGTCGTTTCGAAGAATCCGGCTGCCGGACGCCGCGACCTTCTCGGTTGCACCGTTTTAAACCGTTATCTGACAATGTCCTATGTCTCGGACACCTTCAAATCTATCTTTCCTTTTGAAAAGTGCGATTTTTAGAAATAATGCTGGCATTGAAATGATGAGGATATATCGCTTGCTCCATGAAAGTACAGTATAATGTCTCCCTAATTGACGCTCGGATTGTGCGGAAAAATGGACAATTTTGGAAGAGGAGATACGATTATTCGAGCCTTGCGGCTCGTTTTTATAATTCTGGACAATTTATAACAATAAAAATAAACCGCGAGGCTCGAATAATCGTATCTCATCTTCCCAAATTCTCCATTTTCGTGCGCGATCTAAGCGTCAGTAAGGGAAACATTACTGTACAATAATGTATCCCTTACTGACGCTCAGATTGTGCTGAAAAATGGACAATCTGGGAAGAGGAGATACGATTAATTCGATCCTTGCGGCTCGTTTTCATAATTATTGACAATCGGTAACTATAAAAACGAGCAGCGAGGCTCGAATAATCGTATCTCGTCTTTCCGAATTGTCCATTTTTGTTTACAAACTGGGCGTCGATTAGATAAAAATGTTCAGTAAAACGAGTCAGCCGACGAACGAAGAACGCCGAAAAATCGACGCATACGAACCTTCTCGAGCATCGTCCTTTCCCAAAGCAAAATAATAAATAATAATAATATAATAATAGTTAATAATAAATATATAATATATGTTAATTTATTATATATTATTATTATATGTTAGTAATAAATATATAATATATAAATATATAATAATAGATAATATAATAATATAATAATATTATTATATATCGTTGTCCAATTAGTTGGACAATTCCAATTGACGAGATATCGTGTTCACAGGTTGAGCAACGCGACGCAGCCGGCGATGCTGGTCTCGCCGAGCCTGGCGACAGTGATGATCCTCGACGACGACCACAGCGGTGTGTTCGGGTTCCCCGAGAGGGACGTGGAGTTGGTGGAAAGCGTGGGACAGTTTTCTCTGCGAGTAGTGAGGTACAGCGGCGCCAGGGGACGGGTGGTCGTCCCGTATCGCACCGTCGAAGGAACAGCGAAGCCCGGCAAACAGTATCTGCACACGGACGGCTCGCTCACCTTCGAGGACAACCAGACCGAGTAAGTCGGAGCAGCCCGGAGAATTTTACAGAACGTTTAGCGTCACCGTCTCCCTAAAAAAAAAGAAAAAAGTAACCACGAATAATCCGAGTCGAACGGAGCTCGAGTTTCTCTAGGAAAGGCGCGGATCCGCGGGCGAAAAACGAGATCGCGGATTTCTGAAAGTTCAGGCGAGGAGGGAAGTTTTCGCGCAACGAAGACCGTGGCCGACCGGGATTTATCGGCGACCTTAATTGGTTTCTTAGCTGCTAACGCCGCTTCCTAAAGAGCTTTGGATTAGGTAATTCGGTTCGCCGATCGCCGCCGATGCCTGTCCGCTCGCGGAGCGAGCATACGCTCGTACGCGAAAGTATTCGAACGCTTACGTTTCTAATATTCGATCGATAAAATATACAGGATGTCCCAAAAATGTCTCGCGATCCGAAAGTGGCGGGGTCCTCGAGTCGTTCGAAGCAAATTTTTCCTTTAGAAAAATTTTTTCCGAGGCACCGTTAACGAGTTATCAACGAAAAAGCAGTGACCAACGAAAGGCGAGCTCGGCTGGCGCGAGGCGACCGAACCAATGAGCGGAACCAGGCTTCGCGCGCTGGTTGGCTGGGCCGCCTCGCGTCGGCCGTACTCGATTCTTATTGGTCACTGGTTTTCATTGATAACTCGTTAACGGTGCCTCGGAGAATACTTTTGTAAAGGAAGAAGTTGCTTCGAATGATCCGAGAAACCCGCCATTTCCGGATTGCGAGACATTTTTGGGACACCGTGTAGACTGTTGTAAATCGATGCGAAGACAAAAGAAGTGTGAAACAATGCATAGGAAGACGATTATTTGGTTCGAACGATGAGCGAGCGAGCTACTAGAGCAAGCCACTATAGTGACGCGTCGTGCCTAAAAGGTTAAAAATGCAAAGATTATCGCCGTTTTAACGGTATTGCCGAGAAGTTGTTGCCGATAATTATGGTTGTTTCACGATGACGAAGATCTTCTACTACAGGGTGTCCCAAAATTATCGTACAAGCGAGAAATGGCAAGCGAGAGGGTTTCCTGGAGCGATTCGAAGTAACTTTTTTCTTTCGGCGAAAATGCGCTCCGCGGCTTCGTTCGCGAGTTATCAACACTAAACCTATCAAGCAGTAATACTAACTGGCATGTACTGCTTCGCAAAAGTGAGAGGACCGAATTTATTTAGAATTTGTAAAGTTTTGATTATAAAACTTGCTCGAATAATATAACTTATTCGAGCGTTTTCCATGAAAGAGTCTCGGAACTTTGCAGAATTGCAAAATAAGAAAGCGGTCGCTTTGACCGCGATAGGCTTTAGTGTTAACGAAAAACACCGACCAACGAGCGATTCGATTTGCACTTTGCAATTCGAACTATCGCGAGTCTTCGCGAGAGACACGTCGAGCCCTCCCGCGCGAATTTATGCCCGAATCGAATCGAAACTCTCTCTTTCTCGCGTTCGAGTATCGCGAACGAGTTAAAAATTGCCTTGAAAATTCGGCGGGTTGCCGGCAAAAATGCGGATGGTCGTAAAAAAAGCGGCAATTGGATCCGCTCGGGCTATCGAAACGCTTTTGAAACGCGATTTCGCGTGGCGCGTGCCGCGCGCCGCGCGCCGCGATTTCAACAACGGCCGCAAAGGCGGAACGGCCTCGCATTAAATTTAATTAAAAATTCCTGTATACGCGGGACACGCTCTCGTCGGCCGTCGACGATACCTTTTTCCCCGTCGGCGATTTTGTTTGTGTTGCTTTTTCCCGTAAACGGCCCCGTCGTTCCTCCATTTATTTATTACCGCGTGGATCGTAATTTCGTTAACGGTTCTGGTCGACCGGTGAAAAATCTCGATTCACCGGCGGACGGCCGACATTAACCGTTCGAGTGAGAGAGGGTATTGAAAAAACACTGTCGAAGAATCCCAAACAGCGCAACCGCGCTTTCTACGAACGAGCACGAAAAGACCCGAGCAGCGCGACTGCGCTAGTTTTATTTTACGTCGAGAAACGCCGAGCGGCGCGATAATAATGAATGAAAAATTTGTATTTTGTAACGTATTATCGCATTGTTATAGTATTATTCTACCTATTGTAGAATGTACTATTTACGTTAAAAGGAGCTGCGCGATGTGCTCGCTTCGGTAAATCTGAGGCGCGCTTCGACAATCGGTAACGCGCCGTCGGTTGTCCACAATGTTCGAAATGTGCTGGGTTTTCTCGACGTAAAATCTCAACGACGCGATCGCGCTGCTCGGGACTCGAACGGTTGAAAAGCCGGAGAATCGCGCTTCGTCGCGAAACCATTTCAGTTTTCCGGAAGTTACTTCCCAGCTGATTTCGAGTCGCGCCACCGTGGTGGCAGATTTTTAATCTGGCTTAGGTAGCTGAAATTAAAGCCGAAAGTGTCCGCTTTAAGATGGAATTGGCCGGATTTAAATAAGAACACCAAAGCCGTAGGAGAAATCAGGGTAAAGTAATTTCTCCCTAATTCGCGCTCGGATCGCGCCCGGAAATGGTCGAGTAACGAAGCGCGAAGAACGATCTTGCGGTGGCATCTCGACGCGGCTATCACCCACGTGTTACGAACCACGCGTTAAATGAATTTAACGAAACGTCCATCGGACAAATCGTAAAGCACCGATCGTTGAATAGGAAAAAAAAGAAAAATCCGGACGCGAATTAAGGAGAAATTACTGTTCGCCGATGGCCGACTCGGCGAAAGTTGGTTGGTTGTTTCTCGAATTTGTAGAGTTTCGATTCGACGAATCGATTGTAATCGAAGAAAACGTTTCGTTCTGTCGGCAAGCATCCGAAGGCGTTCGCGACTTCCAGAAATACACTTACGGCTCGAATCGGCTTGGAGAACGCAACGTCGTTGCCGATAGATTCTTCGCGGATTCTCACACCTCGTTTCGCACCGGAACTTTCGAACGACTCAGCACCTTCTGTCCTGCGGCCGCCCCGACGGGGACTCTTTGTAGAGTAGCGATAATTCCAAGGAAATTTAACGCCGGTATGTTCCAGGGCCGTGAACGCTGTTCCAAGGAGCCTCGACGAAGGCTCCTCGATAAAGGGAGCCTCGGCGAAATCGTTATTATATTCGATGGTTTTTTAATTATACAGGGTGTCCCAAACATGTCTCGCAATCCGGAAATGGCGGGTTCCTCGGATCATTCGAAGCAACTTTTTCCTCTACAAAAATGTTCTCCGAGGCACCGTTAACGAGTTATTAACGAAAAACAGCGACCAATAAGAATCGAGTACGACTGACGCGAGGTGGCCCGGCCAACCAGCGCGCGAAGCCCGGTTCCGCTCATTGGCTCGGTCGCCTCGCGCCAGCCGAGCTCGCCTCTCATTGGTCACTGTTTTTCGTTGATAACTCGTTAACGGTGCCTCGGAGAACATTTTTGTAGAGGAAAAAGTTGTTTCGAATGACCCGAGGAACCCGCCACTTTCGGATTGCGAAAATGATTACGTTAAAGAACGCTGCAGTGCCCCGAACGAAACAAACAAAATATCTAGGACGCTTGCATCTGGACGCAAGAATTGCGTGGAACCAACGCGTTAAATCGGCGATAGATAACGCGTCGCTCGATAAGTTCTCCGGTCCGACACATATATGGCAACACCGTTGACAAACCTATACGATTTCTGGACAGTAGCATTCTTCGAACGATAAACGATGTCAAAATTTCATGACATTTTGACGATTAGTTTACAGGTTACAGTGATTTTAGCGATCCCAGTTTTATAATTTTTAAGAAAATGGTTAGAAAAGAATTTCGTGTGTCGATTAAACACATTGTTTTTCGATGGGGAAAAATACCGTTGAAGCGAAACCGTGGCTTAATAAGCGTCAAGCGTTGTCGCGCTGCTTGGGACTCAAACGGTTAATTGTTCGATCGATGATAGCAATGGCTCGGCGAAGGCAACCGGCAACTGGCTAGCGGCTGCCGCGGACGGTTGGTTCGGCTTTCGCTTTCGATTCCTGCCGCACTTTCATCGCGCGATTTTACGGTTCGTCTCCTCTCTCGTCTCGCGTTCTACAGCCCAACACCGGAATTCTGCATTATTTTTCATCCGTTTTATTCCCGTTGGCCGATTCGCAGTCCCCCCGTCGGCGAGCATCACCCTTGGGTCTATTCGCGGACGGTATTTTTTTCTCCGTTGCGGCCGCGATCGATCGGTTTCGCGTTCTACATCGTGAATCGCGAGGTCCGATTTCGTTTCTACCGAGATCGATCGGAAGGTCGGACTGAAAAGGGAAAGCGAGAGCCTCGAGAAGCACGCTCTCCCTTCGAAAACGGTGCACGCGCCGCCGCATCGGTGAACAATGAACCTATTTCCATCGAAAATACTCCCGTACGTGCTCGCGGTTTTATTCCAGCGACAGCATCCGTGCCTTCCGGATCAGCGATTTCGTTTTCTCGTCGCCGACAACTCGAACAGCAGGCAAACGCGGTCGATCGAATGTATAGAACGATATCGCGTTCGAAATAATTACTTCTATTCATTTAAACAGGGCTCGAAGGAGACGACGGGATTCCTGAGGTCATTCGAAGCAACTTTCTCCTTTACAAAAATGTTCTCCGAGCTATCGTTCGCGAGTTATTCGCGAAGAAACACTGACCAATCGGAGGCGAGCTCGAGTAGCCGCGCGCCTGCCGAGCTCGCCTCTCGTTGGTCACTGCTTTCTCGTTGATAACTCGTTAACGGTGCCTCGGAGAACATTTTTGTAAAGGAAGAAGTTGCTTCGAATCGTCTCAGGAACCCGCCACTTTCGGATTGCGAGACATTTTTGGGACACCCTGTATATAGATACGTTGCAGTTTCATAAAATTAAGTGTAAAATAAATCGAAGAAACCCTAAGAATTTTCTGTCGGTTTCACAAATTTATTCAATTTTCCTGCGAGTGTCCTGATGCTTTTTAAGCGGAGTGTACGTTTCTGTTTAAACGAATACGATTAAGGGAACGCTCGGGTTTTCGTTTGAAATCTGTTTCCGA